TATTCCATTTGATACTTTAAAAAACGTGGGTCGCTCCGTGCGGACTTGGTTCCCACCCACCGGCGGCCCGGGCCCTGCGGGAGGCGCTGCTCCAGGGCGGGCGTCGGGCAACGTGAACGCCGCGCCCCCGCCTGCGGGCTCCGCTCTTGTCCAAAGGACAGGACGCGGACACTCAGAAATTTACCTTCAAATGACAGTGTTTGATATGGATCTTTAAAAATAATTCTGAAAGCTAAAAGTGCACTTATTTCCCTTCATATTAATGCTGTAAGAACCTTTACATTTGGCAAGAGGCCGAGCACAGAGTTTTCTGATGCACAAGGAGAAATACGAGTTAACCCTTCCCGCCCACCCCCCCCCCCCGTCTGTGAGTGGATCTCCCTGCAAAGCACACGTGCTTGGGGACCACCGGACAGCGGCACCTCAGTCCCCCGACCGGGCTGCACCAGGTGCCACAACGGGGAGGATGAAACAACACAGCATCGTCGCCTCCGTCCCCGCGAATGGAAGACTGAGCTCGGGTCCGAGGGGCGGCTCCGCCCCGCCCCGGTGGAGGGGGAGGTGCAGGTTGGGGGGTCAGGGCTGCTGGCAGCCTCGGGCCTTTCCCGGCTGGTGGACGCCCCGCCCTGCCTCCGCCGTCCTTCTCCCAGGTCTTTTCCCTGAGAAACGACCTTCTCCCGTTTCCCAGGAAGGAAGACGCTGGGTCAGTCCCGTGTTCTTGCCAAATGCTCAGACGACAGCAACTGCCCTTCGGTGTCGGTGGGAAGGCCCTCGGCCGCTTGACCTCGCCTGGGCACCGTCTGCTCTGAGGGCCTCACGTCTGGGCTATTTCATTTCATATTTTAAATGCACAGGAGTCAGGGGGAGGGAAAGGACCGACATGACTGAGGGTGGCAGGTGCGGGAGAACAGGTGTGAGGTTCACAAGGTCTAGGCTCTCCAGCCGCCACCCTGGGGAGTCACATTGTGTTATTGGCCTAAAAGGTTTTCCGGCCACACGCCCTCCAGACAAAGTCCCCGCTGGGGCAGCAGAGGGACAGGGGCAGGGACGGCCCCAGCAGGGGGTACTGGTGGGGAGGAGGGGGGTGGGGGACAAAGGCTGGGGTGGCCCTGGGGGGCTGCACAGGGTTGCCGCTGGCTGAGCTGCGCTGTCACTGGTGAAGAAAGGGGCTTGTCTGTCCCCTGCAGGCAGACGCCCCTCCTTGGGCGGCAGGGGTGGCCTCTCTGTCTCTCCAACTTCTGAGCAACACGTTAAGTAATTGAAATTGATTGATTTCACAAAATGCTCGTATGGAAAAGGCTGGTCTCGCTGGGTGAGCTCTAATTGCATCAAATCGAGACCCGTGTCAGAAGTGACACTTCCAGGAGAGCAACAGACAGGACGAACAGTGACAATTCCCTGGATGTGGGTTTTATAAAGAAGGGACAGACAATGCCAGAACAAGGAAGAAGGAAATTCTCACAGAGCACATTGCCCAACCAGGAAATGAAAGCAGACATTATCTATTTCTCTGGACTTTGGTATTTCCTGGGTTACCCCCAAAGTTAGGTTGGTTTTTTTCTGTAAGATTGTTCTCATAGCACTTAGTTGTCTTTAAAAGCATTCCAAACAATTTTTGTTAGACTGTCCTGTGGCAGATGTCATATCAGCGCGCCTGCACAAAGCTTATCAAAATTGATGACTTTTTGTGTAGCCATTTTCACATTGAAGATGGAAGAAAATATGTGACATTTCCAGCATATTTGTTTTATTGTTTCAAGAAAGGTAAAAACACAATTGCTCCGTGATAAACAGATCTGTGCAGTGTATGGAGAAGGTGCTGTGACTGCTCGGATGTGTCAGAACTGCTTTGTGAACTTTCGGTGGCAGATTTCTCACGGGACGATGCTCCACGGCGGGTGGACCAGTTGAAGGTGACACCAGTCCACTCGAGACAACTGAGAACAAGCAACATTATATCACATGGGAGGCAGCCGACAGACTCAAAATATCCACATCAGTAAAGTTATTGGTAAAAATGAAAAACATTTCCTTTATTTTACAGAAAACGACATACAAATTTTTAGGCCAACCCAGTAAGATGCCTCTCGCTCATTCATTCTCAAGACTCCAATGTTGCAAGTGCAAAAGGCTCTGGAACAAATCAGTGACCCACAGTGACCTCAGCGGGTGATCTGACCACAACCCCCTAACCGGGCAGGTCAGGGTGGGAGTCACACCCAGGCCGATTCTTCCTGAAAAAAAGGTTTTTTCTACCTTCAGCAAACCCCGCTCGCTGTCCACGGGCACCCAGGGTAACCGCTGTTGGAGAGGCCGGTTGTGTCCTCTCCCTCAGACCCGGGGGACTGACCAGCCTACAAGGAACATATGAGATCATTGCTAAGTGTTTGTTGAGTGACTTTACGAGCGTCTGTGATGAAGGTGTCCCAGCTCTGTCCTTGGAAACCCCACGGGCAGGAGGGGAGGCTTCACCATCGGCACCATCAGGCGCAAATGGCCACCTGCCCACACCGCTCCCACGGCCTATGAGTGTTGTATATGTACAAGTGCAGCTGCATTCTCAGAACCACAACAGGGCAGAAGGTCATGTTTACCCTCAGAGAAGAGGCTCCGCCCCCTGAGACCAGGGACTCTGTGAGGTGCCCCTTGTGACAGGGGCGAGGCCTCAGCTCAGCTGCAGCCTGAGCCCCTCAGGGCCCAGGACTCTCCCAGCCCCTCCCTGCCCCTCCCCCACCCCGCTGGGGCTCGCTGTCTGCTGAGGGTCCTGCCTCGTCGGACTGGGCGTCCCCAAGGGGCAGGGCGCTGACCGGGAAGGAAGGTCACAGAGACCCTCTCCAGGCCCAGCAGTGTGTTGTTGACCAACAGGACGTGTCCTCACAGAGCTGTCGTCCATGGTCATGGCCATGGTGAATCCGGAGAGGCCGCCTGTGTCCGCGGTGTGAGCCCCCCCAGGGCGGGCCTGAGCTCACCACAAGGTCCCCCCACATTCCGCGGGGCCCTTGGCACCACCCTCCGGGGGTGCACTCCGGCCGGACACCCCATCCTCGCGGTCCTTCATTTCAATGTGGGGATTGGAGGCCAGGCCTGGGGACACACAAACATGTCTAAAATGTCTACTCCCTGTGCCCGTGACTGGGGGGGACACGAAGGGATCTCTGAGGAGGGGCCCGAGCATCCTCTGGGGGGATGACACCCTCTCCCCCGCTGACGGCTCCGCTGAGCTCAGTGTGCGTCCCAGGCCTCGGTGCCCCCAGCTCCGTGGGGCAAACCCACTCCTGAGGCCCTTGGGCTGGCACCAGGTTTGAGGGGACCCGGGGCAAAACTGTGCGGGTCTGTGGGGGGCCTGAGGTTCAGAGAGAATGTGTCCCCAAGTGTCCTAGTGTGGAAAAGCCACCATATAAAGAGAAACAATGCACCTGCTACAACCAGGCGCATGACGGCCTCGTCGTAGGACCCGCCTCGTTGGAAATAACAGCGGTAGATGCCGTCGTCACGGGCAGTGACGTTGTGAATGACCAGGGCCACCCTCCCCTTGCCAATGTCTTCGCTCACGAAGGTTGTTCGTCCTCGGTACTGCTCCATCTGCTCCTCTGGCCTCTCGCGCTGGCCCTTGTACACCAGCACCGCCTGCGAGAACTGGGACCGGAACCAGCGCACCTCCATGTCCTCGGCACTTCTCTCAGGGGACAGGTGGCACCGGAACTCGGTGTCTTCTCCCACCATGGCCAGGATGGGCTCCGCTGGACCCACGACAGTAAACTGGGCTGTTCAACAAACGGGCAGAGTCAGGCGGAGCCGCAGCGGCCCCGCGTCTAAGGCAGGGAAGGAAGCGGCCATTCCAGGGGACAGACCACGGCTTCCTGGGCTGAGGTCCCTGGGGGCCCGGCTGTGCCTGGTCGGGGCAAGAGGGGCCGAGTGTGTAGCTGCTGAAGCTGCGGGCGCCTCGGGGCAGAACCCAGAGGGGCGGACCTGACCTCTGAGACCCTGGGCGCACAGAGGTTCCTCCTGCGCCCAGGCAGCCCCGTCCCTGAGCGCAGCGGGGCCAGAGCTGTCCACCAGGCGGCCGCCAGCGGGTCCCAGGTGACACTGTGGTCCATGTAACATACACGGAGACAGTGTGGAAATTTGGACCAAAAGGGTGTTGAATGTCTCATTAATCGTTTACATTAATTAAAAGTTTGAATGGTGATATGTTGGTGGTTTGGGACGATCGGAGAGAACTGTGCTGAGTGAAGGAGGAGCGAGGGCAGCGCAGCGAGGAGCGTGGGGTTTCCTTTCTGAGCCGACAGGAGCCGGGCCGGCCGTACCTGAGACCAGCGCAGCGAAGCCGAGGAGGGGGAAGAAGCGCAGCGGGTCCGGCAGGGGGACGCGCAGGGAAGCAGCCGGCTCCATGGCACCAGCGACCAGTCACCGGGCGGGGCGGGGTGGGGGGACCGAGGGCCTGAGGGCACAGACGTGGAGAATCGCAGGCACAGTTGGCACCACGGCCCAGATTTAGGGGAACGTCCCTGTGACCCGGGTGGCTGCCATCAGAGCCCCCACTTGTGTCCTGGGCTCCCCGTCCCTCCCGCGGTGCAGGCGTCTTCCGCAGACGGACTGGAGCACAGTCCACGGAATCAGCCAAGGAACCACGATCCGCCCCGCTCGGCTCGCTTCTGGGGCCAGAGCTCAGGTTGTGCAGTTGTCATCTGACATCCTTCCTCCCGCCCCCTCCTCCAGGCATCGGCTCTGGGACCCCGGGCGAGGTCAGGTGCGGAGCCCCCAGGAAGCCCCTCCCCCAGGGCCCGCCCCGCTCCCCGCACGCGTCGGTCCCCGCCCCCACCCTGCGCGCGGAGCGCAGCGCCCTCCGGTCCCACCTGCCAGAGTTCACTCCGGCGTCTCCTTTCCTCCAGCGACGCTCAGACGACGACTTCCGATTGTCCTTCCCTCAGCAGCCCTTGGGTACAGTCACAACCGGAGACCCAACGGTGCGCAAAGCTGAGAGGAAATTCTCTCTCCCGTCACTGTGTCCGTGAGGCTGGGGACCTGGGACTCTGTGCCTCCTGTGACCAGAGTCTCAGTTCCAGGGACCGTTCGGAGTCCAGGATTGGCCGGCGGCGGGCCAGCCAGCCAATGGCGTCCCGGAGTCGGCTCCGCGCCGGTTGCTAGGCAGAATACGCGGATACTGCCTCTGCGTTAAACGGGCACAACTGCGAGTAAATAGCCTTTTGAGATTATCTGATATTTTAGTTTCCTTTTCTCTTTCCAAAGGCAATGTACTGTTTTATTTATTTATTGTTTGCCCTCTCTTGCGACTCCGTACAGTGGCGTCGTTGCTAACGAATAGGGCAGACGGCTGTTTTGCGTGCCTTGTGGACCTGCGCGTGGGGGCGAGCGGTGGGCAGGGGTTGAGGTGAATAAGCACCCACTTTCCAAAGCCGAGGAGTCTCCTTCAAGGCGCTGGGCGAGGGGGGAGGGGAGGAGATGGGGGCGCGGGGTGGAGCTGGGCAGCGGTGGGGCCGGCAGTAAACAGTAGAGCCAGACAGCAGCTGCAGGGACTTTGGGAGACCCGGTGACTCAGGCAGAGGCTGCGGAGAGAGACACGGGAGGACACGGAGCGACAGGCAGAGCCCCGCCCTTCCCTCGGGAGGGGCGTCTCCGGTGCCCTCAGGACGCGGGCAGCGAGCGAGGCTCCCTCCTCTGCCAGCGGGCGCTCGGGGGGGGGGGGGAGGGTGTCCAGCAGCCCTACGCGCACACACGTGCTCCCCTGCCTCACGGATCCCAGTCGGGCCATTGCCTGCGCTTCTTCTAGAATAACCTTCCCCGAAAACATGACGCTGCAATTAGCTCAGGGGCAACGGCCCCACCAGCAGCCACTCCAGGACCGGGACTCTGTCCCCGTGTCCCTCCCTCCACCTGACCCGTCCCCCCACGTCTGTCCCTGCGAGGACGGCTCCAGACCGTCCCAGCCTGGGGTGTCTCAGCCCTGCTGATGCAGCAGGAGGGCGGCCTGGGTCCTGTCGCTGCAGGAAGCGCAGCTCCGCCCACATGAGAATTAGCAGGACCTGGACCGGTCCCGGGTCCTCCGGAAAGGACCCAGCCTGTGATGCCTTGGCTTCAGCCCAGCGAGAGCCTTGCTTTAAGACAATACACGTGTGTTGTATTAGGTCATGAAATCTGTGGGTATTTCATTACTGCCGCAATACCAAACTAATACTATCGGCATTTTGTGAAAATGTTCCAAGGAGGTAAACCGTGAATCTGTGGTGACTTAACCTTGGGGGCTTAAAATCGAGAAAAAGCTCAGTGGAAGAGTAAAGATTATTGACAAATTTATTTAACAAATGTAACGTGACAACCCCATGCAGAGGGAGGGGACACGTGGTGAACAGTCACAACGGTGATGATGTGGCCTTCGCCCCTGGAGCCCTGGGAAGGGAACCTCAGGGGACCCATGACTCTGCCCAACAGGAACAATCGGCTGCCAAGGGACAGACGAGAGGCAGCGGGAGGGGCAGAGGGCGAGCCTCTCCCAGCAGCACGGAATCCGTGGGCATCGCAGACGGCAGGGATCGGGCCCTGCCTCGGTCTCCGCACTTTCTAAACGTGGCTGCCTCTCGGGGGCATCGTGAGGGACAGTGAGACGCCCAGAGAAGGGGTGTGCAGGAAGGTGAAGATGTGTGACCCGTCAAGCGCTTTGTAGAATGACACCTGCCCCGCGTCACAGTCCAGGAAAACGCCCACTCTCGCAGGCCGCGAACGTTGGTGAGCTGGGTCGGGGGGTCCGTGAGCCCGGTAGTCACTCCCACCAGACCACCCCACTGTCCACAACCCATTCTCGGGGGCCACTTTAATCCAACATTTCTTGTCCACGTTGTCCCTGCACAGCCCAACACGCCACTGTTCCCTGTCCCCACGTCCACCTCCCGGAAATGACTCCCAGACATGAAGCTCTCACAGGGCAGCACACACTCATTCCTGTCAAATCTCTTGGGGGTGTCCGGCCGGTCCTCCCGTGAGTTTGCCCGTTTCAGGCTCCTCTCGCCCTGAGACACACGGAGGGCGGGGTGCGCAGTGTCCGGATCCAGAAGCACGTCCGCTGCAGGGGGTGTCGGGTGGGGTCAGACGAGGTTCCCAGGCCTCCGAGGCCCGGGTCTGGGCAGGAGGCTAAGCCCAGACGGGGGTCACCCCCGCCCAGGACGTGACCCTCAGACAGGCCAGGAGATCCTGGAGGAGCCTCGAGTTAGGTGGCGAAGGGGAGGGTGAGGAGGGTTGGGGTCTCCCATTTCCCTGTTTGCCCCTCACTGTCCCTGCCCAGCTGTGCTGCACAGTCCTGTGGGCTAAAGGGCAGCCCTCACTCTCCCCCCCGAGCTCCATGACGTCCTTTTCTGCACAGTCTCTCTGTCCATAGACACCAGCTACGGAACAGGCTGAGTCTCAAATTCGTATCTGTGGACGGGGTAAGACCCTCGTCTCTAGGGTGGAATGAGACAACTGGCTGGTCAGTTTAGCCCAAGGCCGGGCACAGAGGAAGTGTCTGCTGTGATAACAGACGCCGTGTCCCTCCTGTGCTGGGGCCGGGCTGGGGCTCCGTGTGCTCTGGGGTCCCCCCACCTGTCCCCACCCTCCGGCCCCAGGAGTCGGTCCCCGGGGACAGCATCCCTGGGTCCCGGGCCCCTGGTGACTGCGGGGTGGGGCCACGGCAGGCGCAGGCTGAGGACGGGAAGGAGGAAGGACAGGGGGCGCAGCGCCGGCCCCACGTCCCCAGGGGGACAGTCCCACCCAGCTGCCTCCCCCCAGCAGCCCCTCCCCGAGCCCCAGCGGCCTCCGGGCTCCAGGCGCCCCTCCCCGTCCCCCTGCCCTGGGCCCATGGGTGGTCACGGCGGCCCCTGCTGTGAGCCCTGGGGCCCAGTCGTCCTTGGGGGTTCCCTTAGTGCCACCCAACCTGCGGCTGTGAACACATCCAGCTCATCTCGGTGTCACGGATTCCTTTCCTGTTTTCATGCTGTGACCTTTGACCCACCTCACTATCCTCAGCCAGCACACCCAGGGCTCTAGGTGAGGATTACCCGTGTTCCCTAACTACAGCCGCGAGCACTTTTGTTAGTGACAGGACAGGAGCACCAAGGGCAACACCCAGCTGGTGATCATATCAATTATGAAGGATCGTCCATCAAAAGTCCCCCAGGAGGTATGGCTGGTGCTGCCACCTTCTTTGTCCCTTTTCCCGTCAGTCATCGGCGCCCGGGTTACAGTGTAAGGAAGCGCGGTGACGGGTCTGCTCTCAGGGAACAGTCTGTGCCGGCTGCCGGGCCTCTGTCCTCTCCGACCCGACGGCCTGTGAGTGAGTCGCCCTGTGACACAGTCTGTTACGGTCGGAGGAGTTGCCGGCATCGTGTTTAGGTGCTGAGATGCCTTCTCCTCACCGGGGTCACTACCGTCAGACAAACACCGATTTCAACAGGCCGTCTGCGTCCTGTGGGGGTTCTGACCAATACACAGTCATCGCCTCCTTCAGCCGCTGTCCCAACCCTCCCTGAGCAGGAATTACCACCATCTTCTAAAACAGGGACAAAGGCTCAGAAACACTGAGAAACAAGAGGACACAAGGCGGCAGGAGGGGCGGGAGCCTGGGCAGGTCCCACCCGCGCTCCCCCTGCAGCCCCTCCCTCCAGCCCCGCCCCTCCGGCCTCTCCCTCTCACAGGGTCCTGTGGACCCCGGGGCAGCCGCTGTTCCTGGGCCCTGGGCTCTGGGAGGCTGGTGGGCGCACCTCTGAGATCAGGACCTCAGGTCACCTCCCCCCAGAACTGTCCCAGTGAAGAGTCGGAGAGGAAAGAGGGGGCAAGGCCCTCAGGGTCTGTCCTGGGGACACTGAGGGACCCACTCACCAGGCTGGAAGAGGGCCGTCTTCAACTCTGGAAGGAAGGGGACACAGGCAAGGAAAGGTCATCATTTCTGTCCCCCCCCATCCTCACTGAGCCTCTCCCCCCTCCTGTCCTCCGTCCCCTCCCCCATCCCGGTCCCTCGTCCCCAGCCCTGCGGGTCAGGCTGAAACCTCTCTCGGGGCTGGGCCTCCCCCCTTCACGCTGGGGCCGCGGGTGACATGACCAGGCTTTGCCCCGGGGAGGGCGTGCGTGTCAGCAGGGGAGGGGACGCTGCACCTGGAAGGTCCCCTCTGAGTGTCCAGAAAGGCGGGGGTGGCTCATCCACAGACCAGGAGCCCCTGAGCTGGAGGTGACCCTTCCTCCCCCAGCAGAGAGAGGGGTCAACGCTCTTCACACAGGAGCCAGGACACCAGCGTCAGACTCACCTGCGTAGGCCTAAGACTGCTCATCACCTGTAAGGGAGACAGAGAGTCACCTGGATGTCACTTCTCAGTATGTTCCTATCCCCCCCTTTTGCACCATGTGACCTTCCCGTGAGTCCCCCACCCCTCCCACCTCTCCCTCTGCCTGTTCCCTCCTGGGCCCTCCTCCCCCTTCCACCGCTGCCGCTCAGGGACCCGCCGGTGCCCTGCATGGGCCGTCGCCGCTGTCACCCGCACGTCTGCTCTGTAGGAGTCTGTGCATCAGTCACCTCTTCTCCCAGGTGTTTGTTTCCAAAGTTTCAGCTACCTTTCATTAACCAGCGTGGGAAAGTATAAAATGGAAAACTCCGGAAATAAACAATTCAGAAGTTTTAAATCGCACATCATTCTGAGACGTGTTCTCACGCTGTGGGCTCTGACCTGCCCCCTCACGAATCTTCCCTTAGTCCGGCTCGTCCATCCAGCAGACGCCCCCCACACCCCTTAGAAACTGAGGAGCGTCTCTGTGACAGATGGACGGTCACAGCGTCACAGCGCTGGTGGTCAACTCACACTGAATTTACTTAATAATGGTTGCAAAGCACAAGAACAGTGAGGTGCAGTGCAGGTTTGCCAACGAGAAGCCGTCTTTACATGAAAAGGAAAAAACCTCTTTTGTACAGGGTTCGGGACTATCCGAGGTCAGACATCCACTCGGGGACTCGAACCGGGACCTCCTTGGACAAGGGGCCACCACCTTACTCCGGGGCCGGGTTGTACCTGGGCGTGGGCTCCCCTGGGCACACGTGTGTGCACCTGAGAGTGGGAACCCATCCCCCTCCACCTGCGTTATTTCCTGCCTATTCCGGGAACAGTTGGGCAACTTAATGAGAAAAGTTCATAGACTTTTTTTTCAGCAGTGACGATAAATCTGTGATAACTAACAGTGGCCACTCCTCTTTTTAAGAGGCCTTTTTCTCTCTCTTTCTGGTTTTCTTCTCACTGTACCACAGATTTCCTAAAGCACCTGGGAGCGAGGGACTCACATGCTGAGTCACCTCCCCGCCCCTCTCCTTTCCCGGGTTCGGGGGTTCCTTGTACGAGCGCCGCCTGGTGGAGGGAGGCCGCAGCCCCTTCCCCACCGAGAATGACCCCTGCTTGGTCCCCCATCAGCACCCTCCTTTCTTCCCCTGGGCGCTTAGGGGCGAGGGAAGGGGCTGCAATATCCGCGCAGAGGGGCTGGGATGCGGGTCTGGGCACTCACGTGGTTGGGATCGGGTCTTTCTCCACCCTGCAGGGAACAACGGGAGGAGTCAGTGACAGGTGCCACTAAGGACACCAGGAGATGCAGGGCTCGTGATTGGGACTTACAGATTTGTTTCTGCAGGTTCTCTGGAAAAAAGCAGAAAAAAAATCATGTCCTGTCAGGGGGATGGAGGGGAGGATCCCTGTCGGGGGTGCGGGCTGGGGCGGCTAGGTGGCGCCCTCCTGCAGCGGGGCCTCACCTTTAGCGCTTCGCTCCTGCTGCATCTCGACCAGCGCTGCTTCTTTCTCCGCCAGCGCTGCTTCTTTCTCCGCCAGCGCTGCTTCTTTCTCCGCCAGCGCTGCTTCTTTCTCCGCCCGCGCTGCTTCTTTCTCCTCCAGCGCTGCTTCCTTCTCCGCCACAGCTTCTTCTTTCTCCGCCACAGCTGCTTCTTTCTCCGCCCGCGCTGCTTCTTTCTCCTCCAGCGCTGCTTCCTTCTCAGCCACAGCTGCTTCTTTCTCCGCCACAGCTGCTTCTTTCTCCGCCACAGCTGCTTCTTTCTCCGCCCGTGCTGCTTCTTTCTCCTCCAGCGCTGCTTCCTTCTCCGCCACAGCTTCTTCTTTCTCCGCCACAGCTGCTTCTTTCTCCGCCACAGCTGCTTCTTTCTCCGCCCGCGCTGCTTCTTTCTCCTCCAGCGCTGCTTCTTTCTCCGCCAGCGCTGCTTCTTTCTCCGCCACAGCTGCTTCTTTCTCCGCCACAGCTGCTGCTTTCTCCGCCTGCGCTGCTTCTTTCTCCTTCTGAGATGCTTCTTTCTCAGCCACAGCTTCTTCTTTCTCCACCCGCGCTGCTTCTTTCTCCGCCACAGCTTCTTCTTTCTCCACCCGCGCTGCTTCTTTCTCCGCCACAGCTTCTTCTTTCTCCGCCACAGCTGCTTCTTTTTCCGCCTGCGCTGCTTCTTTCTCCGCCAGAGCTGCTTCTTTCTCCAACTGTGCTGCTTCTTTCTCCGCCACAGCTGCTTCTTTCTCCGCCACAGCTGCTTCTTTCTCCGCCAGTGCTGCTTCTTTATCCTCCACAGCTGCTGCTTTCTCCGCCTGCGCTGCTTCTTTTTCCTTCTGAGATGCTTCTTTCTCTGCTCGCTCCTGCTCCTTCTCCTGGGACAGGGTCTTGATCTTCTTCTTCCATTTGCCCAGCAAGAGCATGGTCACCACCAGGAGCAAGACCAGGAGCACCCCCAGCAGCGACGTGGTCAACAGGAAGCATATCCTCCAGGGCAGCGTGTCCCAGAAGTAGGGGCCTGCGAAGGGTGAGCCTCAGCTGCTCGCTAGGCGGGCCCTGGGGTGTCTCAGGACTGAAAATGATCGTTCTTTCCCTAGGTGCCCGGAACAGTTACTGTCATATAATAAGTGCTATCTTCTTAAAACAACTGCCTCTCACATGGGAATCGTTTGAATATCGAAAAACGTATATACAAAAGTCACCGAAGTCTCCCCTCCTCTGCCCTCCCCCACTGATTAGCCTCCCCTGACCCAGCCTCACCTGGTGATCAAGAACGTGAACTCTGCGGCTGCAGGGCCTGGGTTCACGTGACCCGTCTTCCGCCTGAGCAGCTCTGGGCCCCTGAACTAACCACTGAGCCATCTGCTCCTGGCTCCCTGATCTGGAAAAGGACTGCCAATGCTTCTAAGGTGCCTGACGCACAGCGAGTGCCATGTAAGACTCAGTAAATTAAAATATATAGCAATTCTTATATATTTTACTTCACACCACACACAGCGCTGCATACAAGCTGGTCTGTGTGTTGTTTTCTCTGGTCACCGCGTGTCTGGCGACCTTCCCCCGTCGGCACAGGGAGCAGGTCTCGACCCTCTCTCAGGGCAGCGCCCGCCGCACACACGCTCCCGGGGGTGGGCACCCGCACAGCCTCCGACCCTTTGTGACTATAATTAATGGTACAGGAGATAGCCCTTTACGTGGGTCATTACACACAAACCTATGTGTCAGACGCCCAGAAGTGGGGTTTTGGACAAATAAATATGTAGCTTGTGTAAAGATTGCTGTATTAACTCAATGGAAGTGGTGCCAATTGGCACCAAAACAAACAACCCAAACCAAACCCAAATTCTATCAAAAAACATCTAAGCGCGACCGCCTACCCACGATCCTGCCCTCAGAACATGCTATCAGCCACCTCATCTTCTGTGGCCAAACTCACAGGAGAAAACCCTGCCCCTGCTCTGCGGGTGGGACACCCTTTGAGAGCTCTTGCCTGTTCTCTGAATGGATAATTTCAGCTCTTCGCTCAATTTTCTTTAGCCCGTTTTAGGTTTTAACGAGATTGTCCTTTTTCTCATCTTTCAGTTGTACATATGTTTTCCCATTTTATGTTGTCTTTGCAGACTTAGACCCCTGTCCCCCAGTCCCCTATGCCTGCCACCGCCTGGGGCACCAGGAAACGCTCAGAAGGCGTCTCTGGCAGAAACAGCTTCATGGGGACGGGCACCAGGTCCCTGCTCTGTGCCTTCCTTTCCCGCAAGGACCCAGGTTGGCAGAAGACACCGCGCCTCCCCAGCGGCCACCGCGAGCCCACGTCCGCGGGCAGGGCGCTCACCTGCGATGGAGACCCGGGCTGACTTTTCCTGGCCCAGCAGCGGGTTTCTGAAGACACAGGAGACCCCCTGCTCAGAGCGGCCTTCCAGGACCACAAACGCTGTGGCCTCGTAAAGGCCCTGGGGGTCCGCGGCCGCAGGCGCCACCTCCGCGGGCAGGCTCCGTCCGCTGGCGTCCCTCCACTCGATGACGGGCCGCGGGAACCAGCCGGCAGACGTGCACCCCACACGGATGCCTCCGGCCTCGAGGCCCCGCAGTTCCACGTGGGGCTCAGAGCCCAGCGCTGGGAGGGAAGCGGGAGCCTGAGCCGTGGGGGCCCCTGTGCCGGGAGGGTCCGCGGCACTGACGGGGCAGCGCACACGGGACGGGCCGGCAGGGTGTCGCCCGGAGCCGCTGGAGCGTGTGCTGCGCAGGCGGGGCTGACCCACCCTGTGACCCCTGCCGGACCGTCCCGGCCCCGCGGTCAGGGTCCAGCTGCACCTGGGCCAGAGCGGACCCTGCTTCCCGGAAACCCTGAGACACGGGGCTCCCTCCCCCACGGCCCAGACCCGCCGGCTCCTGGAGCTGCCCCTCGCCCACGCTGGGCTCGGGAGGGGGTGGTTCCCCCTTATCTACACGGGTCTCACCCCAGAGCCCCGTCCACCCTGCGTGTCCTGTGCAAGCCTTTGCCCCACCATGAGGGGCGAGTGATAGGCTCCTTCTCTTGCCACCGCCCACATTGTTCTATGCGGTCCTATCTTTAAGCACATGATGTAATAAAGGCGAGACTTCTCAGCCTCTTTTTTGGGTCTCTTGACTCAGGGATGTTTCTATAAGGCGGTGCAGGAAGGAGAAAATGTTCCACAGGAGACCGGACGCAGGGCCAGGAAGAATGGAGCCGTTACCGCCTGTCCCTAAGGAGTAATTCCAAGAGGAGGTCCCAGGAGGCATTTTGAGGACCTGAAAGGACAGGCGCCTGCAGGGAGGGCTCTCTCAAGAGGAGCCACGGTCTCCAGGAAGGGACAGAGTCTGGCTGAGGAGGCCCTGCGGGGACAAGCAACGACCCCCACCTTCCACCCCCTGCCGGGCTCCCCAGGGAACAACCAGCCAGCAGCCCCCGGGCAGGGCTGTGTCCAGAGGGAGTGAGCGCAGCTCCGGCCCCTGCCCGTGAGCACCGTCCTGGAGCAGCGGCCTGGGACTCGGGTGCTTTGTCGCTGGGACGGGTCAGGACAAAGCCAGGGCCTCGCAGCAGCCGGGTCCGCGCACAGAGGGACGCGGACCGTGTGCAGACACAGCAGGGACCGCCCTCCCTGTCCTGCCTGAGGGTGACCAGCGACACCCGCACCAGCCTGACAGCACCCGATCCGGAGCAGAGCCCTGCTCCCATGTCCCCCCGAGTCCCCGACAGCCCAGAGGTCACACCACATCCTCCCTGACACCCCGACGCTGGAACGCCCACGGTCTCCTCACGAGCGCGACCCCCGTCACGGCCACAAGGACACGCCCAGCTTGTGCACCCGCACGTGTGTTCCTGGGCCTGTGGTTGGCGGACGAGGGCTCCACAGGGGTCGTCCCCGCAGCTCAGCCTCCGGGACCCACAGCAGCGGGCACCTGGGGGCCCACGGCCACCGTCTGGAATGTGCTGAACCCACACACCGATGTGCCCCCCACTGCAGGGGATGCCTTCTTCCTCCCTGTCCCCACCTTCCTGCTGAGTCCTGGGGGGAGGCAGGAGGGGCTTTTAGACCTGATGCGGGAGGGGCTTTTCCTGGGGGACAACCTGGGTCTGTCATGGGTCTCAGAGAAGTAGCGTTGGAGGCAGGGGACACAGTTGCTGGTGAGGAGCTGAACCTGCTCTTAGTGGGCTTGCTGCTACTCCCCCCACCCCACGGAATAGAGCTCAGAGCAAACCTGAGGCTCACCTGCCACTTGCAGCTCCACCTCGGCATTTGCAGAGAAATCTCCATCTTGGAAATAACACCGATAGGTTCCATTGTCAGAGGCTCTGACCTCGCGAATCAAGAGAACAGCCTTCCCCTCAGTGATATTTTCTTTCAACATCGAAGTCCTCCCTTGATACTCTGCGGCCGGCGTGTCTTCCTGCCCACGCGCGTACGTGAGCACCGCCTGCCTGAGGCTGCGTGGCACCCACCTCAGCTCCATGGTCTCCGCGCTCATCCCCGGGGACAGCTTACAGGGCAGCTTGGCGTCCTCACCCACCTTGACCAGGATGGGCTCAGGGGGTCCAACCACAGTAAACTGAGCTGGTCGTGAGAAGGGGGGGCCCCGTCAGAGGAGCTGGGGCCAGAGGGCCGGGGTGTGTCCGAGGCAGGGAGGGCGAGGGGAGGGACCCCTGGACAGGAAGCCGGTCCTGACACAGCGGCCGCCTGGACGGGCCTCGCAGGGATGGGGGAGTCCAGGGTCTGCCGGGCCCGAAGGGAAACGCTTCAGGCGCATGAACGCAGAGCCGGTCCTACCTGCTGAGCAGGGGCTGAGCAGCTGGACCAGGGCGAGGCAGACGGGGAGGGCGCGCAGAGAGAGGACCGGGCCCCTCGCCATCGTCACCCGCTGTGCGGAGAGAGATGCCCGGAGGGGCTGGGTGGCAATGACGACCTGGAGGAAGGTGGAGAATTCCACGTGGAGACACCGCCTCCCCAGGGCCTCCTGGGGCACAACCGCGATCGCTGGTGACCTGAGAGCCGGCTCTGAAAGTGTCCACTGGGGCGTCTGTCCACGTTGGATCCCACCATGGAATCACCCATGAATCACGGAACGGCAGTGCCCGTACCTCAGCCCTCGCCCTCAAGGGGTCCTGGGCCCCCCTGTGCTAACGTGCTCAGCAGCCCCCCGCCCCCCCGCCGTTTACCCGCCCTTCCCTGCCACAGCCAGGAGCGCCAGCAGAATTGCGCTCTGAGCAAAGCAGGCCCCTCATTTCTGAGTCCCGATCCCACTGCTGCCCCCTGCAGGCCGTGCCCCGCACAGCAGCCAGCACGCCCTGACCCCTCCCTCCCTCCCTCCTGCTCAGACCCTTCGGGGGGCTCCCAATTCATCCAGAGAAGAGGCCAAAGGCCTTTGCATCCTTGACTTTTAAAATTATCCTCATGTTGAAAATTTTAAAAGTTTCCTTAGTGGGGAATATAGTTCCTCATGTTTTGAGGATATATATTATTTTTATTTCCTGATTGTAGACAATTATAAAATAAAATACAGAAATGGATAAACTGCAAATACTTTATAAAACTGATTATGTTATATATTATGTTGCTTCATTTGAATGTGAATATTTTTGGACCTATTTTGGCCATATATATTTACTATATGCTTAAAAATATTTCATTCTTTCTCCCACCAATTTGACATGCAGGAATTATCTCAAAGAAGAAAACTAAGCCTTAACATAAATATTTACATTTAATGCTGTTCCTCAGAGTGAAATCTACAATAGCAAAACGTAGATACCATTTAAATGTCCACATTGCGCCCAATTTTGTTACAATTATAAATAAAACCTCTTTTTTAAAAACAGGATTCTTCAACCAACAACCCACATAATACTCAGGGATGAAAAGCTGGAAGCTTTCCCTGTAGGATCAGGAGTAAGACAAGGATGCCCACCAGCACCCCTCCTATACAGCGAAGCACTGGGAGTGTAGCCACAGCAATCAGGCTGGAGAAAGACGCGACAGCAGAGGAATCGGAGAGGAAGAAGTAAACTCTCGCTGTATGCACAGGACACGATGCAATGTATAGAGAAGCCTGAGGACTCCACCAAAAACAAACAAAAACCCCTCAAAAGACCTTCTCCTGCTGCTAAATGAATTCAGTGACCTTGCAGGATACAAAGTCAGAGAGCCGTTGCGTTTCTAACAGCAATAATGCATAATGAAAAGGAGAAATTTTATAAATCCTGTTCAAATTTCATCGACAACCATAAAATACCCAGGAATAAATGGAACCGAAGAGGTGACAGAGCCGCACCCTGACCAGTACAAGGCAAGGAAGAAAGGAACGGAAGAGGATACACGGAACGGAAGGGTGCACTGTGCTCCTGGGTTGGAAGCATTAATGTTGTAAAACTGGCCTTCCTGCCTAAAGCAATGTACCTGTGAGCGGAGACCCCACCGCTTGAGCGGCCGACCCTTGAATGGACCTGCTTTCCTCCCTCCAGACCTGCCTCTCCGTTATTGGCTTAGGAGCGGCAGGCAGCCAACCTGGTTTTGGTATCAGCGTCTCTTCTAGAATCTCTTAACAACAGGTTCCCAGAGACGATCAGGAGAGACAGGAAGAGACCTTGCCCCTCTCTGGCCACAGGAGGTTCCCGGGGAAGGGCATGTGTTTGGCTCCCTGGTTCCCGGCGTCTCCCTCCCACAGGGGCCCAGGGCAGCCATACCGCGCTGCCCTGGCTCCTTGCTCCCCCTGGGCCTCACCTGCAGACTCACGGCTGCCTGCTCCTCCTCTCTGGGGCGGCAGCGCCCTGCAGGCTCCCCAGCTTCTCAGCCCCTCTCCTGAGGGCCTGGGCCTAGTTTTCCCCCGCTCCCCCCAGTTACCCTTGGCTCTCCCAGCAGGAACTCCCAGCGCACGGGCGCTCCGTGGTTCTGTACTAGAGGTGCGTCTGAGCTGGAAGAAAAGGTGAGAATAGACTCCGTGCTCACCAAGAGGAACAGAGCTCAGTCCCTCTTTCAAAGCCCCTGTGTACTATTGGCTCGTGGCGTCTGGCTAATCAGCTGCTGGACAGGCGTGAAGGCGAACCCCGTGCTGGGTGGAGCAGTGCAGGCCTCTGCCAGCCCTGACCCCACCCTCTGCCCGGTCACCTGCTGAGCCACTCCTGGGGCTGGGGGTGTGCGAGCAGCATCTCATTACACACGCCTGCTTTATGACCCTTATATCATACTGTGTTCAGCAGCAGAACTTAGACAAATTAACAGGTGGCAATGTGTGAGGAGAGGACGGTGCACAGTAATTAAATGGTCACTGTGGCCGTTCGCTAATGTTTTTGGCAGCAGAACCCAGTGAAGGCCTGATGGGGAGGAAGCAGGCCCTCGGCACCTTTCCTGAATCCTGTGACGTTACATCTCGGACCCTTCCCCAAACAGCACGGTTTCCAGGCCCCACAGGCGGTGCTGCCAGGGGCCGACGGGCAGGCCCTTCATTCTCAAAGAAGGATGATTTGGGGGCTGCCGAGAAGGCCCATCATCCTCTGCGCCTCCTCTGAGCGGCATCTGGATTTTCAAGTGGATTCCTTTTCCCTCTCCTGCAGGATCTGTGTCCTCTGAGGTCAGACGGGAGAGGCTGCAAATGCATCCGTTAGGGGCCTTTGGGACCAGTGGGTCTATGTGTGTTCTGGGGCCTCCACAGACACTTTGTTTAGGCCTCAAGGCCGTGGGATTAGCCCCCAGGGCTGGATGTGGCCGTGGCTGATGCAATGTGACTGCATTACAAGGTCTGAAGGTAGGTTCTGGGGGTGGGGATGGCTGTTCCCTTGTGCCTTATGTGTTCCTTGTTGCTTCTTAGTAACAAACCCCATTTTGGGGGGGTAGGCCCTGCACTATGCCCATCCCCCTTATTGATGGGAGACGCTGAGGGACTGAGTTTAAGCCGATGGTTTGCAGGTGGAAATTGTTGCATTGAGTTTACAGAGAGGGCCACAGAGTTCCAACTTCTTTCTTCCTATTCAGTAGATGGCATCTCTGGAGCTGGAGCTCAGCAGCCATCCTGTCACCAAGAGGCAACCTCGGATGGAAACTACATGCTAAGACGGCAGACAATGGAAGCAGACGAGATCGGGCGCGTGCCTCTGAGCTGCCCGCCCGGCACTGGACCACGGCCCCTGCATCGTCTCATGAGGAAGGAACAGGGGCCCGAGTTTATCTGGGGCCAGTGGCACCTCTGGCCTCTGTTATCAGTCACGGAACACATTTCTTCGCGTCCCGCCTCCCGCTATCAACAGTGTGTCATGAAAACTACAGAAACCCAACATCGTTGAAAGAATGTTTTAATGAATACTCAATCTACCTACCCTTCACTCTTTACTTATTTTTTAAAAAAATTTTCTATGATTTTTAAAACAAATTTATTGGGGTGATATTGTTTTTCGAAACTCTACAGATGTGCAGTGTACAACCCCATAGAACACGATCTGCACACGGCATCATGCACCTGTCGCTCCAAGCAAAGTCTCTTTCTGTCCCCAGTTTTCGCCCCTTTGCTCCCCTCCACCCAGCACCTCCCCCGTTCCCTGCCGTCTGCGTCTCTGTGATATGTGCACGTTTTCTGGCTCATTCCGTCCCCTCCATTCAGTCCCCCACCCCCTCCCTCCTGACAGCTGTTAGTCTGTTCCCTGAATCCAGGCATCTGTGTACCTACTGTTTAGATTCTACAATACACATTTGATAAAACACGCTCACTTTTATTACCATCTCTTCTTCTGTTAGGCCTTATGCTTAGTTATCTGGAGCCTTTCATGTAAGTGGGGGAACATTAGGGCTCTTTCCCCCAGGAACCAGCACACGTCTGTCAACTAGAACACAGCCGTGACACGCTCGAGGCAGCAAAGCTGAGCTGAAAAATATAAATGTAGGAGCAATTTTCAGTCGTGTGTTCAAAATGATCCGTGGGTTGTTTTTATGTGGGCACCGCTGCTGGTAAATGTCTAGTCATCCCCAATTTCATGCACAGTCTGTCCCTGGGGCCCACTGCTCCTGAGATCAAGGCCACCTCCGGGAGTCTCCCAGCAGGGCGCTCCCCCACAGTCTGACACAGGACGAGCACCAGCTCAGGCCCCTTCCGTCCATTCCCTGGAATCTGAGGACAGAAGATCTCGCTTCTCCGCTGAGGCCACAGCAGGGGACTGTCATTCTAGGCCACCTGTAGGGTGTGGGGCTGCACAGTAAGAAATATATTATATATCGTAACTGACGACACACACTTAATTTTATATACCATATGGTCTTATTATTATTTTGATACTTTAAAAGTTTGATACTTTAAAAAACGTGGGTCGCTCCGTGCGGACTTGGTTCCCACCCACCGCCGCCCGGGCCCTGCGGGAGGCGCTGCTCCAGGGCGGGCGTCGGGCAACGTGAACGCCGCGCCCCCGCCTGCGGGCTCCGCTCTTGTCCAAAGGACAGGACGTGGACACTCAGAAATTTACCTTCAAACTAGTTTCTGATATGGATTTTTAGGAATAATTCTGAAAGCTAAAAGTGCACTTATTTCCCTTCATATTAATGTTGTAAGAACCTTTACATTTGGCAAGAGGCCGAGCACAGAGTTTTCTGACGCACAAGGAGAAATACGAGTTAACCCTTCCCGCCCCCCCCCCCCCCCGTCTGTGAGTGGATCTCCCTGCAAAGCACACGTGCTTGGGGACCACCGGACAGCGGCACCTCAGTCCCCCGACCGGGCTGCACCAGGTGCCACAAATGGGGAGGATGAAACAACACAGCATCGTCGCCTCCGTCCCCGCGAATGGAAGACTGAGCTCGGGTCCGAGGGGCGGCTCCGCCCCGCCCCGGTGGAGGGGGAGGTGCAGGTTGGGGGGTGGGGGCTGCTGGCAGCCTCGGGCCTTTCCCGGCTGGTGGACGCCCCGCCCTGCCTCCGCCGTCCTTCTCCCA